TCTGGCCACTGTGCGGGTTTTCTATTCCGCGAATATCGACGATTTGCAAGCGGGCTGCCTCCGTTGGGGGTTTAGAGACCCCAGCACGCCTTGGGAAAAAAATCATAGCCCGTGGTATGTGAATATCGCGCTGAACGCGTCTCGGTCCCAGATCAACTCCCCCCATCGAAACCGTTTTACAGCATCTTTTATTATTTCTTTTCTGATTTTACATGTTCAAATAAATTATGGGGGCTCGGCGCATTTTCAAGCGATTGGTAGTAACGATGTGACTCCTCCATGCCTCGCCTTTAACCCCCGGCTTTTGTCCTTTCCCCCTGGGTTTTGAAACCCGCCTGTACGACAGTTGTGAATCCGTACCCTGCCACTTGCATGGCCTTCCGCACCCCTAGCCATACCTCCGCCGGACACACAGAAACCATCCTGGAAGTAACCCAACCGTAAGTACTATAACTACCACAACCACCATAACTACCGTAACCACCATAACTCCCCCCCAGGCCGGAACTGCCTCCCTATTCGTGAACCATCCCCGGGAGGCGTACGAGCTGTTCGCCACGTCAGCACCTGACAACACCGTCAAGTTGTGGGATGTACGAACACCTCAGCGATGTGTGCGGGCGTTTGCGGGTACGTGGTTTGTGCGTCAGGTGCTGCGGGTGTTGCGTGTGCAGTTTGGATGTGGCGTATGTGTGTGTATGTGTGTGTGTAGTGGTGGTGGCCACGGCGGAAAGGGCATGATGGACATCATCCGCGTCTCTTACGACACACACACAGACGAATCCTCCTTTCCCTCCCCCCAAAAAACACACAACCCTCTTTCCCTTACCTCTTTCCCTTACCTCTTTCCCCCTTTCCCCTCCCCCCTTTTCCCTTCCCCCCCTTTCCCTCCCCCCCTTTCCCCTCCCCCCTTTCCCCTCCCCCCTTTTCCCTTCCCCCCCTTCCCCTCCCCCCCTTTCCCTCCCCCTTTCCCCTCCCCCTTTTCCCTCCCCCTTTTCCCTCATCCCCCTCATGCAAAATACTTCACCACGTCAGGCCACAAGAACTCCCAATTGCCCAACGTGGCCGTGTCCTTCACACCCTGCCTACGATATCTCGGCGTCGGCTCCGAAGACAAGCAAGCATATCTGTACGACGTACGGCAGGGTGTAGTGGCGCATAAAGTGGGGCGAGGTGTGGTGGGTGAGGCGGTCACGGGTGTGGCCTTCAACCCGCTGCACCCCCAGATGGCGTTGGCGTGTTTGGATGGCAAGGTGCACTTCTTCAGTGATGGGGCGGGAGCTTAGGCGGTGTTAGGAGGCGCGGGTCGAGGATGTGACAGGTTTCAGAGTGACAGGGTTTTATGAATTTTGACTTCCTCGACGTTTGGAAGCTTCTACTGGGCTAGGGCTATAACATATTTGAGGCGGGACCTGCCGACCTGTGAGGGTGAAGTGGGGGTAAGTGGGGGTATATGCTGGTGCCGTGGGACGTGTGCATGTAAGTTAAAAAACATCAATTTCTACACCTATTTTCCACTTGGTATGTATTATGCATGTGGTTTGTTTTAGTGGTCATGTATATCGGGCGGGCGGGGGGGGGTCCTAGGTAATGACCGAAGCGGGGTGCTGAGGTCCATCGCACCCCAGCCGGCGACACCCCAGCAGTGGGGGGTGGTAGTGGGCCACACCCACGTCCTTGGTTCGTTCACCTGAGACCGCGTACTGCTTACTTGTACAAGCACCGGATGAAACGCATTCACATACACATACATACCACCCTGTAACAACATACATACATACACACACGCGCGTTAGTAGAATGGGTATCGGGGTGTGGGTTGACGGTTGGAGGTGTTGGGAGTTTGCAACTAGATATGTGTCGAGCCTCCCGAGACTGAGCCCGAGACCTGGGGTTACCTGATATAGGCCCAGACAAGAAACGCGTTGGGACTAGGAATGATGGCCACTGCGTATTGGCTCTGCGTTTTCCCCACCTGCCCCATTCTGTTTGCTCAGAATTGCAATTGTCGCTGAACAGAACAGAGGCAGAGGGATATCGTGGGCGATGTTGCTTCCGCCTAATACACGCGCGAAGTGAAGAATATTTTCACAAGACAACGTTTGCAAACATGCGGTGTCAGTGGCTCGGTGTGTTTGGTGACCGCCGCCAGGAACCCACAAAGGCAAAAGCACTGTCCTCCCCGTACATGACCTCGTAACACTGACGTCAAATGTACGTTAAGCAAAAGTTTAAAATCGCAGCTGCCGCTGCAGCTGCGAATGCATCACTCTCGCAGCCTCTCGATACCATCAGACAGCCCGCATGCGCCTAATAGACGTAAAGCGCCTCGTCCAGCGTGCGCGCACTCAGCGCTAGCAGGCAATGCGTTCGCATGCACTTTCTCAGGCGTTTAGCAATATACAAAATCGCATGGCATGTTGTACATACCACTACAGCATGCTCGGTGCACGACGATGGCCGTACGCCCCGACTCCTGCCAAAATGCAGTAATCTCGCTCTCTCCCAATAATCCCGATTAAAATCAAAACAAAGCATTAATTATTAAGGTATCCTAAACAGGACATCCGCTCCAGGCTGCACATGATCGGAGGTTGGGCATTCGTACGGGATGAGGGCCAACCAGCAGAGCCCGAGGACTGTCCGTCTGTCTGTGCCTCCTCCCCGTGTGTCCTAACCCGTCACGAATTTCCATCGCCACCATCACATCCACCGCAAGTTTTCACACTTTCGGATATCCCGCCAGCGAAACACGCAACCCACAGCTTCTACTTCCTTTCCACACAGCGCACTTCCGCTCTCCCAAACCATAAGGGCCGAACCCCAGTTCCAGGACGGGTGGGTGAATGAGACGCAAAAAATTCGACTCGCAGAGCCCTGCCCACCCATGCGCTTCGGGAAATTGCCCCCACGAATGAAAAAACATGGTTGTATCTGTAGTACTTCTAGAACCCTCCTACGACGGGAAAACAGGGCCCAGACGACCTGCAGGGCCACCTGCGCATCCTGCTGGATGCTTCACACATAGGGTTTACACCACAATCGAGATACCTCAAAAGACGTCATGAAGACGAGAGGGTCGAGGCGGGCTAAAATCGCAGGATGCATGCTTGCCGTACCTTTGCCGTACGTACAGTTGTACGTTTTGCGCTAAAATAATGGATGGATTCGCCAGCCGCTTCAGTTGCGTGAGGCAGCATCGGCATTGCGACCGCAGCATCTAGTGCAGCGAAATGGCAGCAGCAGCAACGGCAATCCGTAAAATACCGCGACCAACCAAACGGTCCAAAAAAAGCAAATACACGTTGCGTTTGTTGGGCCTTATCTCCGCTATCTAGCCGTGACGTGTAGTACGGTCATATAACTGCACATCTAGCTGCACATCCCCGGCCCAATTCCTTTTCACATCTATAGACATATCTATATATGCGACATGTGTGTGTGTGTGTGTGGTGGATCGATATATCGCTCGTCGTACACTGTCCGCCCGTCATAAAGACGCCCGAAAGCACAGGCCGACCGCAGACAAATGCCTTTGCGAGAAGCAAATTTAAAAGTGCGTGCATGGCTCCTCATCGGCAAAAATGCAGCCTGAGGTGGGACAGCAAAGATATGCCCGTGTGTCAGACGGAAGGTTTTAAACTATAGGAAAGGGGCGAGATGGCGTTTTCCCAGCACCTGCGTATGTCTTCATCATGCAATACGGCACAGCGCGAGCTGGGCTGGACCGGGGCGAGACAGAGCGCAAAGCAAAAAACGGTTGGCGAATCGTTGTATGGCACATGAATTGTAGCACTCCTGCAGATGAGAGGCTACAGCGCTACACTGTACGGCGTCGTATAACACGGGGTATATCGTCTAGAGGTGTCAAGTACCCCACAAAAAAAATGGGTGGGCCAACCCACCCTCAAAAAATGTGTGGGCCAACACCCACCAAGCTATCCAATAAGAACCATCGGCATTGTCGTACACCGGTGATTCTTTCGAAATCCTTCATTTATTGAAGCGTGTGTGGCAGTATGTATGTATGTGCAGCAAAAGGGTCCGCCTCTGAAATGATGAACGTTGACCACAAGGATATGGTCAGCACCATTCTAGAACTGCCGCCTATAAATCCCCTCAATCGAGTACCACCCATTCAAAATACCATACGACACCTCCAGGGGCGCCCCCCCCGTACTCGTCCTCGACATCACACATCGCATCCGCTGCAGAGCTCATCTTACGACGAAAAAACGCCAGCGCCACTTTGCCGTACGTAATCATCGCACAACCGTCACCACGGTTAGCCCAACCACCACAAAGAAACCGACAACGAACAACAAAAACTGAAAAGAACGTAATACAATGGTCCGCATACGGGAAACCTGTCCCCAAATAAACTCACAAAACACACACACACACACGCGCACACACGTGCTAAGCAAAAAGCAAACCAGCCCCCGTCACAAAAGCCTTGACAGGACGCAGAAAGTGCCCCCCCCCTGCTAGATGGAGTGGGGGTGTAACATGATCCGACCGCAGCCCGGGGGGCCCCCTACGCAGCTAATGCATAAGGACCCCCCATCTCCCCTCATATGAAAGTCCAGCAAGTCCTGTGTCGTACTAAACAGAGCAATATCAGAAATGGAGGGCCTCACAGGCACTTAGAAGTGACGGGCAGACCAGCTGAATGAAGTGTAACAAATAAATAAGAAGGCACAGCCGCCGCTGCAACCAGCAGCCGCCGACGCCATCATCGTACGGAAACCATTCGACAAATCCAACGTTTAATGCCTAATGCAGGCTTGTAAAACTAACATACCAAAAGAAGTTCTTCCTTCCTTAACAAAAATAAATAGGAGCAGCAGCAGCAGCAGCAGCAGCAGCAACGCCTGCAAGGCGAAGTGAAATCCACGGCCGTATTTACTATAGCAGCATCAACAAACAGCATCAGCATCAACATCAACATCAGCACCCCCTCTCCATCGGATGCCGACCAACCAGACGGTGCTACATTCCTACCGCCGGCGTCCGACCTGCCGTACAGTGGCACAATGCAGGTCGTACATTAAGCTCGGCGCCGCCACTACCAGCTGTCGTACGCTGTCCCCCGCGGCGGCGAGCACCTCCGCCTGATGACTCAAGTACCATTCCTGAGGTGGTGGTGAGGTGGTGGTGACGTTTAGACATCGGCAGTTGGCATGGGCACGCGGGAAATATGAGAGGAGGTGGATGGGGGAAACAATATTTCCTTCTGCGTTACATAATTTGTATACACATATATACATATGCCCATGTCACGCATTACACATGAATAATATGTAACGCAGAACGAAATATGTATTAGGTGTTATATCATAAATATATATATTTTTTCGCTGTGTTGGGATTGTTTTATACATATAAATAATTTTGCATAGTTTGTAATTTATATATAATTAAAATAATGTAGCGTATATTACAATCAATCCCAACACCGCGAATATTTTAGGTGCGACATTGTGTACATGGAAGATTCCAGGATCGATCCCGACACATGGCAGGATAACAATCGCTAAGCAATGATTATGACATAGCATATGCTCAACCCTCCCAACCCCTCTCCATAAAGCCCGAATGGCAGCGCAATGCTTCGCGGCAGCAAAATATCGCCACCACCCCCACCACCCCCACCCCCACCCCCACCACCACCACCACCACCCCCACCCCCACCCCCACCCCCCCCACCCCCACCCCCACCCCTACCACCACCAGCACCACCACCACTACCACCACCACGACCACCACCACCACCACCACCACCCCACCACCACCACCACCACCACTACCACCACCACCACCAGCGCCAGGCTGAACAGCACCGCACCTTAAGCACCACCAGCAGATCTTCAAACCCGTGCTGGTGGGCCCACAGCATGTCATCCACAACACTACCGGGCTGAGCAGCCGCCAGCAGCCGCCGGTGTACGTGATGAACCACCTGCGGGGTGGGGCGTTGGGGGCCTCACTTTTTGGTAGTTGGGCAGTTAAAAGGTAGTTGGGCAGTTGGGATTGTGGGTTAATGTGCTGGGTCGTTAATTAGGCGTCAGACTGAGGTGATGCGCCTCGTATGATTGTCTCTTGCATATACACATTTTCAAATGTCGCACCCATCAATCAATCAATCACATGTCCGGATGTCGCATATTCTCTCTTGCCAACCCCCCAACCCCCCAAACCTCCCCTCCGACGCAACCAACCCCTCCCATTGCAACGCCGTACCCTGCCGCACCTGGCTCAGCAGCAACCGATCCGCCAGCTCCGCCACCGGTCTCAGCATGTGCGGCGGGAAGCCCATATCCCCCGTGTACATGTAACGGAGGAGCAGCTCGAAGGCGTCGGCGTCGGCATCCTAATGGGGGAGGAGGAGGCCCCCGGGGGGGGGGGGAGAACCCAGGGGGAGAAGGGGGTGGGGTTTTACACACACGCACACGCCCGTTTCCACGCCCCCACCCCTACACACGAAGCCCCCTCGCACTAGCCTTACCTGCAGGACCACCTGCCGCGCTCCGCTATCCGCAAAGCCCCCCGCGAACAGCCGCCGGAAGTAGAGGCAGCGAGCCGCCAAAATGAGGCGATGGCACAGGAAGCTCCGACCACCAACCGCCACCTAAACAGCGCACGACAAACATCAGCAGAGGGAAACGTACACCGTACTGTCGTACACCGTGCACACATACAGTAATCGCCCAGCGGCGTGGGAAAAAGAGGAAAGTGGGTATCACTCGCGGGATACCGAACACGTGTGTTTTGTGTTTATCAACGCGGTGTGATCGGTCTCCTGGGTAATCCGTTGCAGGCTTCCAGCCGCAGCCCAATCGCCCTAGTACGGCATGGCTGCACACACAGCCTCCACGTCCCCAATAACTTTTACAATCAACGCGCCAAACAAGCGCGCGGGGGTGCACAGAAACGCGCGAACCTTGCATGGTTCCTGCACTTGTGTGAGTGTGTGCTCTTTCCCTCTTTGCTCTCTTCCGGTACCCCCCCCCAAAAAACACCTCATACCGCCTCTTTTTTCCCCTTTCCCGCCCTTCTCCCCCGGGCGGGCGGGCCCCCAAAACAAAACAAACCTTCTCCCGGCTCTTTCCCCACTCCCGCTCCCTCCCTCACCTCCACATCCTCAGACCCGCCAGGGAACGCCAGCAAGGAGGCCAGGTCGCCCACAAGCCCCGCCACCCCCTCGTGATGCAACTGCCACGGGTACGACCGCCCGTACGGCAGCTGTACGGTACCGCCGCCGAAAAGGGCTCTGCTGTACCGCAGCCCCAGCTGCAGCAGCAGCACGCGCTTGTGGTGGTATTGACACAGCGCCAGCCAGCCGCCTTGACCCGGCATAATCACCGGGTACGCCCCTACACCACCCCAGGAGGTGTCGCTCTTCCCCAGGCAAATCACGGCCTCAAAAGACCCCCCCGCCGCCTCCAGCCTGAACACCTGATGTCGATCCGCAATCAAGAGCCCCCCGTCCAAGTCTGCGACTATACCACTAATGCAAGTGAAAAAGCCGCCGGCGGCGGTGGCGCCGCCGCCGCCGCCGGTTGCTGCTGCCGCCGCCCCCGCTGCCGCTGCCGCCGTAGCGGCGGCGGCTGCAGCTGCGGTGGCTAGCGGCCCGGATCCACTGGAGCTAGAACTGGATCCGGAATTAGAGGCGCTGTGGGCGAATCCCGGCGGTCCCGCGGCCTGAGGGCTGCCGAATCCGGATCCAGTTCCGGTTCGGGGCCGTTCGGATCCCGCGATGCGAATCGGAGCGCGGCCATCTTCCGGGATGTGAAACACGGCGTGGATCGTCGCGGCGTACAGTCGTCGGTTGATAATGTCGTACGCAACGTCCACAAAGCTGCCGGGACCGGTGTACCTGCAGCCCGCAGCCGCGCAAACACGAATACGCATAGTAGCCATTTAGTACATTACACACACACATACACACACACACACATGTTGTAGCAGAAGATTAAACGCGGGCTATTTATTATTCGCATCTATTAAATCTCCCAGAACGATTCCCTCAAGAGCTATCCCCCGCAGCCCCCGCAGCCACGCCGTTCCCGGCGCACCTCGCACCCACCAGTCCGCACGCACGATAGCCATTTTACCGCCAACCGCAATTTTTTCATCACCCAAGATCTCTCGGAGCCTCTTCACTTCCTCCCCGCCACCTTCGGGGCAGCCAGCCGGTGCAGGACCATCAAACTAAACACCCCCATACACACATACACACACACACAACATCGCTAATCACGTCTCTTTTAAACAAACAGGCTTCCAACTAACAGAAACTAACAGAAGTAACAGATCTTACGACGAAACCCCATACATGTACGTTCCAAGCCCGGCCAGGAAGGCGAAAACTCACACGGTTGACACCATCGCCTGTTGCTCCAGACTGTGCTGCGATTGCTGTTGGTTATGTTGGTTATGGCCGTTGTGTTCGTTGTGCGACCCGCTCACAAGTACGGAACCCCGCTCCAAGTGTTGCTGCCGCGACGACTGTTGCGGCGGCGGCACTGACGCCGCTGCCCCGGGCAGCGCTGACGGCAGCGCCACGCACCGTACGGCACCGCCATCACCGACGTACAGGTTGCCGGTTCCGTCGCACACTAATGTCTGCGGCAGTTGGAACCTTGCCCCGGGCCCGGGTCCGTCCGTGGTTCCGCACTGCTCCCGGTGTCCCGCCAGCGGGGAGACCACGTTGTCAGGACCCAGTCGCATCAGTGCGCGACCTGAGAGTGGGGTTCGAGGGGGAGGCGGACATGCATGCAAAAAGTGGGGGAAAGGAGAGAACCACGATAATTTAAATGATGAGAAAGATAACTGTAACAATTATCAGTATTATTATTGTTGTTATTATTATCATCATTATTATCATAGTTATTATTTTATTAGTATTATTCATATATTATTATTGTTATTATTATTGTTATTATTATTGTTATTATTATTATTATTATTATTATTATTATTATTATTGCTATTGCTATTGTTATTATAATTTTATAATAATAATAATAATAATAATAATTATTATTATTATTATTATTATTATTATTCACTCCCAGCGTGAACAGAAATGTACGGCATTTCCCAAAGATGCGGATCCGCTCCTGCCCGACCTAATTTGATTTGTTTACCCTAAACGATCTGGGTCACGCGCCTGACCAACAAATTCTTCCACGCATGCGCACCGAATGCTTCTAAACTCTTTCCATTCTACATCTTGGGTACGGCGGTAAAACTCAGTGTACAACTCACCTTCCACGAAATACACCGCCTTGGAGTACGGGTCGTACACAGCCCGATGCAAGGCCACTTGGCAGCAGTACGGCTTCAGCTCCCCATCGGGCCCTCGCTCCTGTTGTACATCGTCCACAGATGTACATTCAGGCATATATTTTCAGGCAGCTAGGGCCTAGCTGGCAAGTACGGTTGGCAAGTACGGTTGGCAGGTACGACTGGCAAGTACGGCTGGCAAGTATGTTCGCGTGTCTGGGTGACCCGATCTCCCGGGTGAGTGAGATGACGCTTACAGCGCCTTAAGTTAGTGTTATAAGATCATCGCTAAATCCAAGAACCCAAACGCGGTACTGGAAAATCCCCAAGGATGGTAAAAGGGTGACCCATCAGGCGTGCTTAGCACGTGCCTGAGAAAAACAGTCGGAAAGAGATAGCAGAAAGCAGGCGTGGGTTGCTGCCGGAGTAGTTCTCATGACATGACATATCTTGCTAATGACCAACCCCAACTCCGCCGACATGCCATCGAGCCAACCGGTTGGCGAACATCATCGGAGGCAGAAAAAACTGAAGTCCGGGCACGGACAACATGGTCAAAAACCCCGCGGGTGGCTTTCTCAAACGCATGCCAACAAGCTGATGGAGCTGGGTAAGGCTCCGCTGCGTGCTGCGCGCTAGACTGGCAGGCCGTGTTATGACTACTCCAAGAATCAAACTCATGTATGAGGCTAGGATTTACGACCGGTAAGGGTGTCGGCTGGGAACTGCGTCGCCGGCGTTTCTTCCCAATGCTGAAGCCGTGAAGGAGCTTGTCGATCATTTGGCCATGCCGCGGCCTCCATGTAACTTCCGATGTATAAGAATAACAGACGCAGGCACTCATACAGAGGACAGATATGCTGTGGCTCCTTGAATGCATCCGACATTCGCTGCACAACCCTCAACCCCGTATAACACAGCCCCCCTTAAACAACCTAGCATCCATTCACTCACTTTTAACTCCAAGGGCTGAGTTGCCAGCTGAAACTGTCCAGTTGCATCGTTGCCTTCTCCCAGCAGCTCAAAAATGCAGCTGCGGCTATCGCTCCCAAACAGTACGTCTTTGACGTTTGAGAATACTAGAGTCTGGTATCCAGAGCTGTTGCTGTTGTCAGGTATAGGGCGGCTCACTAAAGCGACCGGATACACGGAAACCTGAACAAGTTTCTTGCCAGTAAATGAGGGGCAAGACGCCTCCTCCATGTCTGCTGAAAACTTCAGTAGCTGCTAGTTTATCAGGTCCAGGACGTCAAAAGCGCAGCAACCCAGTGCAATACCTACGTCAGCAACCTTGCCAGGAAAGCCTCAATAAATTAGGCAGGATTGCGGCTATGCTCCGCGAACGCATATTGACTACCACGATTGCACCCGATGACTGACCAACTAAACATTTTGCATCCGGGTACGATTCATTTTAAGAGGAGGCGAAAACGGGGCACAATCTAAAAGTTGATAGCTTAAAAACAAGGACATAAGACAGAATTAACCTTGCGCCGGTATAGGCTCCTTGTTCCGATGACAACAAGCGAAACCTCTTACCCCGCGACCATGCCCCCGGGGGAGCATACCGTTTCGGAGTATGCAGATTACGAATCCATTTTCGCCATTTTATTAATTGCATCTTTGGGAGAACTCGAAATGCATCGTTGTCATGCCGCCCTGTACCTGGACAAAAATCCTAAACGCCCGAAATGCCGTACCTCTCTACTGTATCAATTCACCTGCTTCAGTAAGCAAAGCACAAGTATAGCCCTGCATGTATAGCCCAGCGATGCTACAGTGACTGCGTGTATAACAAAACGAAACCAAAAAGCACTCCAAATAACGATAAAGAATTTCTCTCCAAAGCACAAGAACGGGACATACAAGTGATACGCAAACGGCAGGACATGGCTGCCCGGGCTGGACCGAGTGGCGGCACACCACACAGTACGCTTAACGGATGGCAAAATGGAGGATCGCAGATACATAGCTGAGATCGAGAACTGCTTGGCACAGTTTTCTGAGGTGATGCCTCAGATCCTACAGGTTTTGTCGCTACTTCGGCGTTGAAGTGGCTTTGGCCTCGGTCAAAGGAGATCCATGGCAAAAGGGTGTTGCACACTTTTCCACTGTGCTCGCAGGCATACAAGAGGCTGGTGTGCAACATCCCATAGAATGCCATGGATCTCCTTTTGTACAGTAATGTTGTCGGCCTCAGACAAGTAGATTTTTCCAAGCATGTCTGAGACCTGTGTGTACAAGGTGACCTCCTTGACATCAAGGAGCAAGTCCTGTCCCGGTGATGGTGAGGGTAGTGCTGCTTCACTGGAGATGTCATATCGGCCAACACTGAACATTCCTCACTGAATCTCCACCAGAGGTAGGCTGCATCCAGATGTGGCAGCAGCGGGTCCCTGTCCAGCAATGCTGACTGCTGACTTGTTAGTCCTTTGAAACTCTCATCCGGCGACATATCAGGGCCCAATCCCATGTGAGGGGGCTCCGGCAGCTGGTTTATAATGACATCCAGAGCATGAACTGCTTGAGATGCGATACGCAACTCAGGGTGCTCTGAAAGCGAGCACGGCTACTTCTGTATCGGCGACTCCATGATGCATGCTAAGTCATGCAAAAAGTAAGGATGCCATGAAGTATTACACAACATGGTCTCCAGGGAGGGCGGACTGCGTAAAATGGCCAGCAGTGTTCAAGCCGAAACTGAAACTCCATGATACGGTAACCTTGTGAAACAAGTTTCCGTGTTTCCGGAGGAGAGGTTTTGGGGCACCAGTAAGCCGTTATGGCTCTGTCCGAGTCTAAAACAGGGGTGGTAGGCCCCAGGACCACATCGTTTAGGTTCACTTCAATAAGAGAGACTACAATACCAAGTCAAACACATGGAGGGTCTCCTGCATGTACTGTCCGCAAGTACTGAAGCAAGGGCGTCACAGGCATGTGCGCCCACATCGTTGTGCTCAAGACCCGTACAGGACGCGTCCCGCATGCCAGGCAAGAGCTGGTAGAGGCCATGCTCAGGGCACCTCTGTCAATACCCCCGGGATCACTCGTCCCAGAAAAGTCCAATCAGCAAACCCGCAGATGCTGTGACAGTTCCCTATACCTCTGTAGCCTTCTCCCATGAATTCAAGGTGCAACCCTTGCAAGCAAAGGACATATAGGTCACAAAGGATACATTTCTAGGCCTGTGTGACCTTTGGGTAGGTGACAGTCGGGTGATCACAAGACCTGAGAGCTGTCTAAGGGTATCTGAGTGTGTGTGTGTTACATGGTTGGGTGTGTGTGACCCCATACCTGTGAAACTACCCATACGAGCCAAAGGCCCAAGGGCAATACTTCAACGCTTAAAAGCCACGGAGAAAAGGAAACACCGCACATGAGCCCAGACTAGCGTCCAACGGGGGTAACTGAGTTTTGGTGAGCCCACATACGTTCCAACATCCTCGCCAGACGTACTGGTTCCCATTTCATGGCCTCCAACATGCTCTGCTGATGGTTGAATCCCCCTCCAGCACGAATATCATTATAGGCTGGGCATTCCAATAACACGTGCTTTTCATCCTCGATTCGGCTATTAGTACCACAACAGCAGCAAAACCGCTGCCCCCTGGGGACATGGTACTTGCCCCTTCGTGCTCTGTTTGCCTCCAAAGCCCAGCAACATAAACGAAACTGCATTAGCTTACGATGTGCTAAACGAGGAATGAAAACCTTAGCATGTGTTGGCCACATGACGGCGGCGGCTAAGGGTATCTAAGCGTGCACCTTGGCCCATTTACGACGCTTGCCATTCATGGACATAACATGTTGCAGCATTTCGACAGGTTTCCGACGGTTACCGGGGGCTCCGCGAGGTTTCACAGGAAGGTCAAAAATGGGGAGCTGTTTCGCAGCCGCAGTACAGGTTTTGGCCCGAGCACTCTGACACCCCCTAGTGGACGAGTGAATGTGAATGTGTGGAGCTAGCCCTGCTATGTTGTCACACAAAGCATGAATGCAGGCCGAAGGTTTGCTCAATGACCAGGCGGCAAAATCGGAGCTTAGTCGTTTGTGTATAAAATATTAGCAGTTGCTCAGAGAAGCGAGAGGCGCCTATCGGGTGACACATTTCAAGGAGCTCTTATGTACCTGCATAAGTAATTTAATCTGGGAGGCGAGGCACGTCGCGCTGAGGCGCTTCGCCCTGAAGTGGACGAGGGAGAATGAAGATGACCTCCCGCGTACCCGCGTCAATACCAATACAACGTCCATGGCCCCCCCCGGCTTTTACGGACACACCCGCACTTGTGTGCGGAACTTGTAACTTGTAACTTGTAACATAAGTAACCCAAGGGGTTTTTGGCACTCGTCCATCCACTCAGGGGTAATGGTCGGGGTTGGAATGTTACTACGGTACCCGTACGTAGTGCCGGTGCTTGGCGGCAATGTGTGGAGTCAGCTGCAGAGCTGAACCCTGGAAGAGGTGTGCTGTCTGCATTAAGTCTATTAAGTCTCTCTGCAACAACAAAATCTGGTGAACTCGACCGTGTACCTGTGGAATGCTATTAGTATGCCAGAATAGAGAGGGACGGGCACTCTGTCAATATCCTTGGCCCTTCATTCACCGGCTTTTTGAACACATCCACAGTATGGAGGACTCCCCTAGTCATTTTGAAGTGTCTTCCTTGACGTTGATACGCAAATAAGGCGATTTGTACGATAAGAGCAACTATTGTGGTCTTGTGGTGGCTGGAGCCCCCCGATGAGGTGCTATGCTAATGTTTCGGAGCACCGGTTGGGGTGAGCAAATGGGGTGAGGCTGCCAATTCACAATCCCCCTTGCAGGCTGGTTTCCAGGCCAAGGTGGGCACCACACACAACAAACTCTTGCTCCGGCCCTTTGCTGACCAGCACAGGAATAATATGGCCCTGAGAACACATCCTAGCTCCTTGTCTGTCACCTGGTTGATTTTGGGAATGATTTTGACACCGTGTTCCGTGTCGCCTGTTTTGTCGCCTGAGGCTGAAGGAGCGCGGGGTACGTATACATGGCACCATGCTGAAGGCGCAGACGGCCTGTTACAGGAAAGGAAGTGTGCATGCGAAAGCAAAAACGGTAGGCTGAGGGAACCTTTCAAAAGGGGTCAGGCAAGGCTGCAGCCCGCTCAGCCCCACAGTGTTGGTGTTCTCGGTTTTTTCTTCATTGACGACTTCACGGACTAGCTGGAGGCCTAAGATCATATAGCACCAATAGCAACGTGTCTCGCCCCGTCATCACAACACTAAACAAAGACAAAACAAAGCTGCAAAGGTTCCAAATGGTCTAAAGAGTCCAAAGTTTTTAAGCATTCTAAATTTTAAGGCTCCGAGTCCACTGTCAAGGACTCAACATTGACCGGCTACGTCAAGAGCGAGGTCTGTACACCTGCACCCGAACCTGCATCTTCGGCCCACCCAGACGGCTTTCCCGAGGTTAGACAACGGCGCCACCGCCGCTACCCTAACCACACGATCCTGTACATTGCCCCCACCCGGGTTCAAATCCGCCTGCCGGCTCCTCGGGTGATTGAGGAGTGATGAAATGGGAGGTGGCCCCCCATCATGTGGACGATGTAGGACGTGATAATATCAACTTGCGAGCTGACCAGGAACGAAGTGGATGCGCCGTTGATCCGCTAGATTTGGTTGGATGCTGGTGGTGAGTTGCCAAACTACAACTGGAGTATACTCTGAAGTCGGATGGGGTGAATGGGCTAGGGTGCCCCTCTAGCAGGGGAGAGCAGGGACTGCCCGGGAAAGGGGCCGCTGGCGAAGTTAACCACCCTGTAACAACATATAACATTGCACGACCAACCCCCCGGGACCTCAGTCGCACCAAACGTTCAAAGCTCCGTTGAAAGCCGCACCGCAGCCACACGCCACAACCAGCCAGGTGCTTACTCACAACCGCTTACCCAATCCCAACCGTGTTTATCAACCGATATCAACCTAGGCGCTACAGCTGCTGCTGCCTCTTCCCCTCCCAGCACACCTTCCTACCTCCACGCCTCCATCTGCCCCAGCCCGCCAACACCGCCACAGCCTCCTCCCTTCCTCCAGGCCCCCACAGGTCGAATGGACTCCGTACGGCGGCCCACAAGGGAGGGAAGCAGCTCCGAATCCAGGACCGAAGTGGCCGGGATAGGGCCCAGTTGGGCAGCCGGCAGGTCGCCAGGACACGGCGGCAGGTCTTCCTTCTCCACGACCTCCCCCATGTTCTCCTTCTCCTCCTCCTCCAGCTCCTCCTCCTGGGTGTTGCGGCCCCTCCTGCCAATCTCCCAAACCTCCTCTCCCACCTTCTTCTCCCCCTCCTCCTCCCCCTCCCGCACCTCCCCTACCTTCTCCTCCCCCGTTTCCTCCCCCTCCCCTTCCTTTCCCTCCTCCTTCCCCTCCTCCTCCTGGCCCTGCTGGGCCCTTCGGAGGGGAACCTCCCCCACCACCACCACGGGGACCACACCGGCACCCTCCGGTACCGCATCCGGCGGCGACCCCGCCTCCATTCCCTCTCCCCCCTCGCATACAGTCCACTTCATCATCTGCCGCTGCAACTGCCGCTGAAACGGCTTGTCGTCCTGCAGCAGCTGTAGCAACGGTTGCCACCGCCCCTGCAGCAGCTCTATCGGCTGTAGCTGCGCCTGCTGTTGCCAAGCAGCTTCTAGCCGCTGCAGCTGCGGTGTGCCGCCGTACTCGGGCGGCGGCGACGGGGGATCGCCGTGCATGGTCGCCGCCGTCAGAGCGCTACACGCTGCCGATGCCGTCGCCGCGGCGGCAGCGGCTACACCAGCAGGAGGTGTCGCGGGAATTGCAGCGGCGTCAGGGTCGCAGTCCCAGCTGGGTACGGCTTCACGAATACGGAAGTCGTACAGAATCCGTGGGGAGGGCGGCGGCGGATCCTGTAGCGCCATCGACGGCGGGGGCAACTGCGGCGGTGGCGACGACGGCGGTGGCGGCGGCGGATCCAGACTTAGCGCCCTGATATACTGCGCCAACGCTCCACTGGCGGCAGCAGTAGCAGCAGCCGACGGCAACGCCAGGCCGGCGGCTGTAGCGCGACCATCTCCGATACAGTGTCGACACCTCTTGGACGCCGACGGATTGCTTTCGCTGCTTCCGCCGCCGGCGACGAGGCCGGCGGCGGCGGCGGCGGCGGAGCCCTCCGTTTGGCCATCATTGGTTGGTAGCTGGCGGCGGCGGCGGCGGCCCTCTGACAGGATAGCGCTTCGCGCCGCCGACGCCGCTGCTGCTGCACCGGCCGAAGGTGGAGGCTGTAGCAACGGCTGTTTCGCTGGCAGATGCGGGAGCAGTGGCAGTATCAACGGCGGCAGAGGCATCGGCGGGTGGCTCTGGGAGTACAAGCCGTTCATAGCCTCCTTGCCACAGGTGCCGCTGCCGCCGCCGCCGCCGCCGCCGCAGCGCCGCTGGCCACGGGCCCTAGCTGCTACGGCGTCTATTCGTGACGGGGGCTGTGGTGGCGGTTCTTGTTCGTCGGTTGTTTCCGTTGTGTCCATGGGATCATCTGGCGGCGGCGCTACAGCCAGTTCGATAATGCCCATGGCCATCGGCGCAGGTACTGCTACAGCCGCCGCCGGGGCGATTTGCTGCTGCTGCTGCTGCTGCTGCTGCTGCTGCTGCTGCTGCCCGCCATATCCCCGGGTGGGGAGAAGGACGAGAGGTCTGCGGTCCGTTACGGACCGCACTCCCTACGGGGTGTGCGGTAAAAAGGTTTAGGCTTATGAAATATGTTAAACGTTTCGAGGTTTTAAGGGTTTAAGAATGCGATGGTGTGGTACCGTAGTAATTGTAGTCGCCATTGCGGTGGCGTTATCGTGGTCCATAGAGGCCTTTGTATGCTGTCATGCTTGTATGTTTTTATGTATGTATGTATGTTTTTATGCATGTTTTTATGTATGTATGTTTTTATGTATGTATGTATGTTTTTATGTATGTATGTTTTTATGCATGTTCTTATGTATGTATGTTTTTATGTATGTTTTTATGTCCGCTGGTGTTCTACAGGCATATCCCTTGGCTGCATGTGCTGGGGCATGTGCTGGGGCAGGGAATCATGTACGGTAATTCAGGGAGGTGTTGGTCCGATCTCCAAATCTCTTTAGGAAGGGAGAGCGCAACCTCCCCCCGGGGTTCGGTCGGTATGCAGTACTTGGGGGTACTCCTGTGTGGTGTATCCGTCTATCCCTGGTACACTCGTCACTCGTCACTCGTCACTCGTCACACGCAATCGGTTGCTCTCTACCTCCCTTACTACCTCAACAACTACCGCCCGCACAAAATCTGAGCCACCTATCTTTCTTCTTCCGTATTCCGTCCGTACATCCTCTGCTTTTGTTATATAAAACATGCTATTTATTGTTTTGGGCCTCCTCCCCCCCGCCCCCCCGAACCAGCTCCCCACACAAACCACTGCACGGATTCTCGAGGCTCCCTACATTTAGAAGACGCCTAGGACGGCCCCCAGCCTGTCACGCCCGGTAACTCTTGACGCTGGGCCCCCAGCCTCTCTCCCCCCCAACCCTCTTTGCCCACCACACAGTCATGGTTTTTTCTTCTCCTCAGTCGTCTGTGCCTCATCGTACGCCCACCCCGTTCTATTTTTCCCCCTGTCCGCAACACTCCCTCCTTTGCCGCGCGCAGCCACCGGCACGAGAACTCGGCCCCCCTCATCACGTCACATATACTATGAGATATCTCGTATGCCGTACCCTACCTCAAATAAACCGCCGCCGCCGCCATCGCCACCAGCACCGGCTGCGGCGCCGCCGCTGACTCCGGTTCGAGTCCCCCGTCCCGCAGTCGTGTGACTCATGCAGTAGCGCTGACTCCGACGTCGAAGCAGCCTCGGGGTTAACATGTCGTACGGCACCTGTAGCTCAAGCCGTCGTTGGTGGTGTAGCTGCAGGGCGCGGAATAGCCGTTGCTGGTGGTTTAGGTCAGTGTACGGTGACCGTACGGCGCGCGGGTCGAATAGGCCCCCGGCGGAAGGTGCGCTACTGCCGCTACTGCCGCTGCTATTCATGCCGTTATCGGAGGCGTACCCGGAGCTGCCGCCGCCGCCAACATTGGCGTCGTCGTCGGTCATGGCGGCAGCGGCGGCGGCGGCGGCGGCGGCGGTGGGACTACGTCCTCCGCCACCTCCTCCTCCTCCTCGGCTACCTACCGCCGCGCCTTCCCCCTCACTTCGCTGGAAGGACACCTCCGGCGGCGGCGGCGGCGGTTGCGGCTGTAGCTGCCACGAATTCATTGCCAGATGCGCTTGTGGTGGCGGCGGCGGCGGCAGTGGCGGCGATGGTGATGACGGAGGCGGCTGCAAAACATAAGTCGTGGGTGGCCCAGCACTAGCGACGGCGGCGGCAGCGGCAGCGGCAGCACCACCGCCGCCGTCGCTACTGCCTCTGCGAACCCACTCAGGCTGACCTTGATGCAAGGCGGGAGCGGTGCTTGCAGACGTGACCAGCATTTGTTCCGTGTACGGCAGGAAGGGATTCATCCTGTGGATCATACTTGCAATGGGTATGACCCGTGGGTCGTTTTTGCTGACGTGGGAATGGCCGCAGTATTGCTGCAAGACGAGCATGTCGTGCAACCGGGGATGATGTGGTGGGTTTGTAACATGTCCCCGGAGTTGGACTTGGTGATGCTGGTTCGGGTTGTAGCTGCCGTACTGCAGCGGTGCGGGTTCTGTATCCCTTCCCATATCAACCATGTTGCTGTGGCAATTGCTGTTTAGGCTGCCATCCCCATCCCCATCCCCATCCCCATCGACAGCGACAGCGACGAGCGCCGTGATGTTGTTCCCACTGCCACCGACATCGCCACCGCCCGCCGTGCTCGCCATGTCAGGAATGACTAGCCCAACGTCGACGGCGGCGGCATCATCATCGTCACCAACAGTACGGCACCACCACGGCGGTTCTGGTAATGGTAATCCTTGCACAAGAGGTCGTGGCAGAAATGCTGTCGGCGGCGGCAGCGATTGCGGCGAAAGCGGCTGTAGGACTCCAATGTTGGTGTTGTCGTACAAGTCGGCAGTAGTCATGAACATTGACGTGCCGGCGCCGTCGGTCGAGAAGCTGTCGTCTCCACCGCCGCTGCCGCCACCGTCGCCGCCATCGGAGTTCCGAGCAACAAAACTGCCGTTGCCGCCGCCGCCGCCGCCGCCCCCGCTGCCGCTGCCGCTGCCGCCATCCATGTTGTTGCCGCTGAAGGTGAACGGGAACACGGATGGATTCGGCTGAATCCCTTGCTCCTCCGCCGCCTCCATCGCCACCGTCGGCGCTGTCGCCGCCATCGCCGCGTCGGTGCGGTTTTCATTGTTATCTTGCTGACCGACGGCAGAGCGCCCTAAAGCGCCGCAGCTCCCGCTGCTGCCTCCTGCGGCTGCTGCGTCTGCTGTCGCTCCTGATTTCCGTACTAGTGCTGCTGGCAGTAGTGCTGCTTCTGCAGCTGCCGTTGCGGCTGGTGGAGGTGAAGGTTGCGTGGAAGGGTGTTGCAGCAATGGCATCAGCTGATGCCCTTGTTGCGGCGAGCAGACCTGAGGTTGCCGATCTGTGGATGCAGATGAATGACCGCCATATGTACCGCATTGCATGTTTGGAACTTCCGGTGCTAGAAACGACATTATCAGAATCAACGAACGAGCGAGAAGGAAAAGATAGAGAGAGAAAGAGAGAGAGAGAGAGAGAGAGAGAAAGAGAAAGAGAAAGAGAAGCCGACAGAGAGAGTCGAGGAGAAGGAAGTGAAAAAAGTCGATGATAAAAAAGGTTTTTGGAGTAGCACTTAACGCGGTTCTTTCCGTTCCATAAGGGAGTGTTGAGAAGAGCACCGTTTCGCTGTCAAGTTTCGCTGCAAATGCGTTATCTTTATCTTTATCGAGGATGAGGATGATTAGACGTACGTGGTGACAAGCCGGTTTACTGACACCGTGCAAATATTTGGCAGCAATATGCCGCAAATCATGCAATGAGTTGCTTGCGTGGCCGACCCATGGGTCGCAAAGCAAAGATTTTTCGGTTTTGCATGATTTGCAAATAATATCCTATTCTCTGAAATTGTATAGGAGTAAATTTTTAGGCTGTGGAAAGCGCGAAAGATAGCAAAGGACATTATTATAATGTTTTGCAAGGACTTGGTGCATGGGAGTACCGTAGCAGAGCTCTGCAGCACCTTGGGAAAGCGGGAGGGCAGAGAGCAAAGTAGTTGCAGTTTGCTGTAAGATCGATGGTCACACGATGGGGCGTCTTCTTGCTTTGCCTTGACGTGGTTCTTGCTAGGAGTTAACTACATAAGCAAGTAATAACGATATAATAATAATAATAACAACATTATTACTACGACTATTATTATTGTCAATAAGGCGGTGTTGTCCGAGTTTGTCCGAGTTTGAATGAGGCAAGCTCCGCGCTGGGCATGAGGGGATTCTTTAGCAGGCGCGGTCGGCGGCCTGGTAGCCACACCACCTTGCGATTGTTACAGTGGACCTCGATCGGGTCGAGTTCAGTGCTCCAGGGAACGAATTCCGCACAGCACTTACACCAGCTCACACCAGCTCACACTGCTGTCCGCTGTGGGCCTCAAAATTCGCTTTCCGTATGACGTCTGGATCTGCTACACCTTAGCTAGACCCACCTAGCCAGCCAGCCAGCCACCCAGCCAGCCAGCCACAGCGACGCCGCCTCTGCACCGTTAACACCCCCACACACGTTCACCACATTGAGCTCTAAGCCCGGCTTGGCCACTCCTTTCTGGAAAAATAGGGGGCCCGGATAAAGTGCTGCAGGCCACACCTGTTCGGAGGTGTACAGCATCCTGCTAGGTCTGCTGTACGGCATCCCCGAAAAATGAAACTCTGCCCACCAAAATATGCTCGGGTGATTACGTCCTCCTGATGTGTCGTACAGCTCCGAAGCCCCTTGCAGTACTATCCTACCTCAGCGGGTCTACCAGTTGTAGTTTGCTGCCCTGCATACCTAGGAGGATTAAAACTACGACCTCGCCTCCAAGAAAGAAAAACACGAATTGACGAAATTTGACGTCAGCAAGTAAGCAAGCGGTTGTCAGTGTTGTAAGGGACTCAGTGGGTTTTGACACCGCAGATCACGCGGCAAAGTGTAAATTTGAATTTGAATTACAGAGTGGCAGGCTTCTATTCAATTCAAATTCCATTCAGCAAAGTGTGTGAAGGCATATCGACAATAAACCTTCAGACGTCGCCTCTTCTCCCGCATTATGTCCCCGGACGGGTCGGTTGTGCAGGGTGGGGCCAGAATCACCTTCCTTCGGCCCCGGCGGGATCCTGGCCGTGCGGCGTCAGCACCTGTCTGCTGGGGCGGCCTGCCGGCCTGCCTGAGTGGGAATTAAAGTTCTTCATCCCTAAAGGGGACAACCCTTTATTGAGGAAATATTTAAGGTACCCGACCTTCCTCGACCTGCCCCAAACGAAAACCTTCCTTGACCTGCCCTTAGGTGGGCTGGTCTGTAGGGGTCGCCTAGCTCTCTACGGTGACACCCTCCTGCCTGCCTGCCGCTGCTATTGCTGCTGCTCTTGCTGCTACACAATCACAACAGCCTCTTATCTCCTTCTTTGCATTAGGCTACAGCTCCTATCCGATTCCTAACTGAGCAGCAATCTCGGGTCTTTGTAGGGTATATTATTATTACTACTATTTTATTATTGTTCCTCGTTGTCGTCTTCCTCAGCGCCAAACGACAATATCTTCTTGTTCGTGTTGTTTTTGGGCTGAGTAATGCCGCCTCCCCCCCCTGCAGGTAACAACCCAGGGACCCCCTGCAGCGGTGCTTTCCCCCGGGCCCCTTTTCCGGAACCTGTGTTGGGCTTTTGCTCTGCGACTTCATTCACTGGGCCGCTTCTGTCCGGCCCGCTTCTGCTGCCAGCATTACCACCACCACCACCACCACCACCACCGCCATGACCATTGCCAGTGCGCATCTTCTTGAAGGTGTGTTTGCCCTCCCGCATTTGCTGGAGCTCCATCGTCTCGGCCTGCAAATCGGTTGTTATTGCCGCATGTCGGCGTCAGTACGATAACAAGGCTGTTAACCCCCTTCTCTTACTTTATATGTTAATTTCAGCATTTTGCATATGAGACACAGAAGCACATAAGTGCGGTCTGGAGACACTGCGGCTATTTGCGGCTTAAGGTTCAGAGAACGATTCCTACTAGGTGCGTCTCTATTTATGTCGAAAGCATGAGATTATGGCTAGCGTCTGTGATGAGGAGGCAGGGACCTGAGTTGATAGGTTACGACATCCTTCACACTAAATTGGTGTCGATTGTCGAACTCCCTACCTCTAGGACGAGGCGGGATCCTTGAAAATTGAACCAACCGCCTTGGACTTGAAGTACTGAATTGGTCTTGAATTGATTCAAGAGGACACGTGCTAACTAAAAACACAGTCAGTGACCAACAAAAAACAAAAAGACTACTTAAAGAAAATACCTGTACTGCCCATCGCTACAACGAGAACATCTTCCCGTGTTTATTTTCGCACCTTCTCACACGCTCGCCTTAACGCCTGGTCTTCCGGCTCGATCCGTAGGGCCTTCTCGTACGCCTCCTTTGCATCGCCGTACAGCTTCAGTCCCATGCAGGCTGCACCCAGCCGCGCCCAGCCCTTCGCCCAGCCCGGCTTAATCGCCAGCACACGTCGTGCGTCAGTCGCTGCATCATCCCATCGCTCCAGGGCAGCGTAGGCAGCCGAGCGGTTGGAGTAGTACACCTCACAACTGTCAGTTGGCGGTAGGTTGGGAAGTTGACAGTTATGCAGTTATCAGCAGCGGTTGGAGCTCAGTACATGGCGGTGAACACGGCCCGCCCCGCCCCATCCGCAAACCATCCCTCGACAGATCACCACATCCCTTCCTCCACCTCTTCCTCCACCTCTTCCTCCTCCTCTTCTTCCACCTCTTCCTCCTTCTCCACACAGTTCCCAGTCGTCAGGGCAAGATACCATAATTTATCAATCCTTGACGAATACGTGATATATTAAGTTATTAACATAATAATGTGATATAACCTAATATAATATAGTTATATTATAAGTTTTCAATCTTTTTGCTACGGCAAAACAGAACACGGGGGAAAGATACCCCGCGTCCGTTGCAGTTGCAAATTTCAGTCCGTAGAATGAGGACTTAGGGTTCCGCCGTAAATGCCAGCCGTGGCCAAGTGTATACGGAAGCCAAAATGCAACGTGCTCAGCTACCGCACACTGCGGTAGTCGGGCAGGGCAGCCGTGCTCGTGTCAGCACCTTTCTCACGCACGTCACGTCTCAGCCGTGCGTGGGATAGGAAGGAAGGGTTGCCGAGCGGCGGCCCAGCCAGGGGGAAATGGTGGTGGTGTCGGGCACACATCCTGTCGGCTGAATACATCCTAAATACACACACCCACACCCACATTTTTTCATATCCTCACGCCACGTATCCCGTCGCATCACACACAAGGTGCAACCCACCTGGGATCCAGTTCGATGCAGCGACTGAAGCTTTTGGCGGCCTCCTCGTACTTCTTCCGCCCAAACAGCGCATTGCCGCGCTCCTTCTCCTCGGCCGCCTCCGCCTGCTTCAGCTGCGGAATCGGACACCGGAGGCCACCCAGCCAGCCAGCCAGCCAGCCAGGCAACGCGGTTATCAAGGTGGTGCGCGATGTCATTCGACATATAAATTATAACATACAGATATATTCACAGATCTGTATAGACATATATGTACAGATGTATATATATACAGATGTGGGACCTGTCGTACATATACATATGTGCCGTACTGTACGACAGGTCTGATACCTGATACCAGAAGCCTTTGCTAATTAATTGCCAAAGGCCGACCAGACTTTCAACCCTCCTTCCTTATCCGCTGCCCAATAGAAATGGCAAAAGGGAGACCATGTATGTATATATGTCGCTTATCGCGCCAACAGCAAGTACCTCCGAAACCACTTGTCGCCGGGAAAAGGGTTCTCCAGCAGCGAACAGCCGCCATCCGGCAGCAGCTAGGCGGCCATCCGAAACTGGCAGCCCCCAACCACAGACACACACTACGCACAAAAAACCAGCTAAACCCAAGTTCCCCCCCACTGCCTCTTTCCCTCCTCCCGCATTTACCTTTGTTGCCAGAGTGCCCTCAAACTCTCGGGCGAGCTCCGGGTTGTCCGCCATGGCGCGTTTGAGAGCTTCCTGCATGTATGTATGTATGTATGTATGTATGTATGTATGTATGCATGTATGTATGCATGTATGTATGTATGTATGTATGTATGTATGTATGTATATAGCCATGGCGACCATTTCCCCCTTCCACCCACCCCACGCACACACACACGCACACACACACACGCACACACACACTAGCCATTTCCCACCCACCCATCACTCTCCCCCCTTCCCCTCAGTCTACTACCTCATCCAGAAGGTAGCTCCCCCCCCCCTAGCACGTCCGGCTTGCATCCGGACCCATCCGGTTATCTTTTACTCTTTTCCCGCGCACCCAGATGACCAGCTCCACCTAATGCCTAGCACAAGCAGCGACCACGCAAGTTCACTCACCACCTCGATGTTGTCCTCCTCCTCCTTCTCGCCCCCTGCATCCTCCCCGGCTTCCCCTCCTAAGCCCTTGCCGTGGGGATCGCCCTTCCCGTCGCCGCCCACCACCAAGGGATCGTCTTCGTCAGCCGCGGTCTTGACCATTAAGTGGCTGTACTTTTGGAGGAATTTGGGAACTTGGCGCTGAAAGGTAACGTCGCCGCCCTTCCTGGAGCCGCCAGCGGAGCCGCCTCCCGTGAGACCTTTGCCGCTGCTGAAGCCGGAAAAGTGCTGCTTGTCCTGGGAGACGCTGAACTCGCCATACTGGTCCTCCCGGGGCTCTCCCTGCCCACGCCGTTTGCCCATACTTTCTTAAAGCTGAATTATTCTAGGTTAAGGTTGAGCTAAATAAAGTTGTGGCGAGTACCAGCCCCTGCGTCAAAGCTGCATGACTAACCCTGCCTTGGAAATACACGGATCTAACATTTGAGCTTTGTGTTTAAATTGTCAAGGCAGAGATGCAACGATGTTTTTCACAGGGCAGCGTAAATACATGTTTCGCCTTGTTCAAACGCAGAGACTGTGTGAATGTCTTGTATGGGTTCTCAATGCGATCAAGTGCAGATTGTCTTTTGCAATGCTAAATGAAATAACGTTAATTTTCCAGACAATAGAGTTGCTGCCTGTTTCAGCATAACCGTACAAACGACCGCGTGCCTAGCATTCGACACAAATCCAACACAAGTATTCAACACCTATTTCGGTTTACTTGAAAATTACAACAACTCGTCTTACCCGTGCTGAGCCCTAGCTCCGACTTGCACCGTAACCATCAACAATTAAGTTGTTTACCACCGGGAAGCATAGGTCGAACCATGTCTTCAACCTAGCTAGGGCTAGAGGATCATGGGCGGGGCCGGTATGAACAACGAATGACACGACATGGGTAGCAGAAAGGCGGGAGCGCAAGCCAAGGACCTTGCGTCTCAGCGGCAGGGGGTAGGGCAGTATTAAGGCGCTAACAATCCTTCTTGCTGAGGGATGAGTCGGGCGACGAAGGCCCCTGTGTGCATGGTGCCGCCTCGAAGATGTACCCTTGCCGACAGCAAGGACTCGTCCTACGCATTTTGTCTTGCATTCAATTGTCCATATTCTCCCAAAAGCCCGAAAAGTACATTTTAAATTTGTACAAAGTTAGCGAGTGCAGTGTTCCCTGTCTAATCCTAAACTGTCGTACGTGTGCGTACGCGGCTCTTAGATCGCTTACATAGCCCCCCCTGGCCCGTTACCAGGACGCAAGCTGGATGCCCAACAGTACGACACTGGACGATCGTACGGCATTACGGAACCTGCGGTGCCCGGTGGTGGTGGCGGCGGCAGCGGTCCGATTCCAGCTTTGAGGCTGGCGATGATGCCGACCGCACGGACGGCAAAGGAGGGGGCCACAACAATGTCATCATCATCATCATCGGCTGCTGCTGCTGCTTATGCTGCTGCTGCAGCAGCAGCAGCAGCGCCGGCGTCATCAGAAACTTTGGTTAGCGAAAACAGAACAACTGGGATGGGCGCTGGCGCCGGCGCCGGCGCTGACAGTGAAGAGCAAAGCAACATCACTAGGGGGGGTGGGAACCAAACTATTGTTCGATCGTCCGTCGAAGGCCGGAGAACAAGCGATGAAGGGAAATTACGGGTGCGGCGCAATAGCGATGCCGCCTCCGCCAGCGCCAGTGACAGTGACGATGGCGTCGGTGACGGCAGTGACGAGAATGACGTTGCCGCCGCCGCCACCACCGCGGCCGTGGCCGTGGCCGTGGCCGGCAAGTCAGGGGCGCTGGGAGAAGCACGGATGCCGTACAGAAATCATGGCGCCGAATCCGATCCCTGGGGCGCTTTGAATTCAGCAACCGGTGCCGCACTCGATCTACTGAGACTGCCGAAGGCACCGGAGGCGCCGAACGACCCACGGGTCGGCGGCGTCAGCGGAGGCGTCGGAGGTGAAAAGGAACCCGATGCTGCTGTCAGCGGTGCCGCCGCTGAGCTCGACGGCGATGGTGGCGGTACCCGCGGCGGCGGCGGCGGGAGCAATGCCCCTGAGAAGGAGCCAGTGGCAGGGGAAGAAGCTACAGCGGCACCGTCGTCGGCGGCGGGAGCAACGGATGAGGCGGCGGAAGCAGCCGAGGCGACGGCGGCGGCGGCGGCGGCGGGAGCAACGGATGAGGCGGCGGAAGCAGCCGAGGCGACGGCGGCGGCGGCGGCGGCGGGAGCAACGGATGAGGCGGCGGAAGCAGCCGAGGCGACGGCGGCGGCGGCGGCGGCAGCGGGAGCACCGGATGAGGCGGCGGAAGCACCCGAGGCGACGGCGGCGGCGGCGGCGGCGGCAGCGGGAGCACCGGATGAGGCGGCGGAAGCACCCGAGGCGACGGCGGCGGCGGCGGCGGCTGCACCTCACGCGTTGGAGGCGCGACTGCCGCAGGCTGCGCCGCTTTCTTCCCGTCCT